GAATACGCGGAAACAAACAGTGTTCTGGTCGAATTTGAATTGTAGATTTGAATTTTTTTTGCGGGAAAACATACTGTAGATGCGGTTCTAGATTGAACCACCCCTACAAATAGGTATTATAGGGGTGGCTAGTACTACAGCCGCCCCTACAAATCGATTTGTAGGGGTGGCTGGTAGGGGCGGCCTGAGAACCGCCCCTGCAAATGCATAATTTGTAGAGACGGTTTGGTAGGTGCGGCTAGCCAAATGGCCCCTACAAAGGGTTACAAGCCACCCCTAAAAAATGTTTTTGTAGTAGTGACAAGCAACAACAATAGAGGTGGAGATGCCGATAGGTATAGTGGACGTGACTGTCAAGGGCATTAGGTTGGAGTAGCATATGACAATGCTACGGTGCATGGCGAGTGCCAAGCAGCTCATGTCAGAGTCCTCACACCTTCTGCGCCACCATGCTCACCATGCTCGTGCTCGTCGTCCTCTTTGCCATCCACTACCCGTGGGGTGGTGGTGCTTGTCGCTGACATCAATAGCGCTACGCTGCTAGAGTGGCTCCTCACTGCGGTGCCATTCATGCACGTGCTGCACCTCGCCGTGCAAGCCGGCGTGCACTACGCGATGTAGGCCCCGCAGATCGATGTACGTGGCCTCCATCATTGCCCTAGGCCGCTCTTCATCGGGTTCCTAGTCATGCAGAACTTGGTTCATATGGTGAACGCCTCCCTAGCTAGCCACCTCCTTCGCTGGCATCATGGGCTTCAACTTGCTAGTGAACGTCTCCCACCATCTCTCCCTCACTCAAGCATTAATCCAAATATGCTTTGGCTACTAGAAAAAATCAAAAGCCAATTAATGGGATCAGCTTCCTCTCAAGTTCTACACAAAACTCAGCTTCTTTCTAGTGTAATTTTCACAGCAGGTAGGGACCTGGTTCTACCGGCTCTAGGATCGACTCCTGTAGAAAAACTACCCACCTGCCACTCATTAAGTTAGGGTCCCTTTGGTTTGGCTTCCAAACCTACTTTGTCTATTGGAAAAGCCAAAAGCTAACCAAAGAGACCACCTTCCTCTCCAGTTCTACACAAAAAGCAGCTTCTTCCTAGTACAATTTTCACAGCAAGTAGGGGCCTTCTTCTACCGATTGTGGGATTGACTCTTTCATCCATCAAGTCATTAGTGATGTTCTTGTGGATCGTTGGAGGACCACAATAATTTTCACAAGATGAAAATTGTTTGACTTGGTTACTCTGAATAGTTCACACCATGTTTCACGAAGCATTGAAGTGTTTGCACAAGTTAGCTAAGGACAATTTTAAGCCGAGAGATCCTTGTACGGAGCATGAAAGGGTGAAAGAGGACCGTTCCTGGCCATAGTTCAAAGATGCAATTGGAGCAATATATAGATGGTTCACAAGTTCGAGTGGTAGTGCTAGCAGAGGAAGTGGTTAACCACACATGCTATCATGGATATACATCTCAGAATGTGCTAGCTGTTTGTGATTTTGACATGAGGTTTATCTTTGTTGTTGCTAGTTCACCGGGTTTTACACATGACACACGTATCCTCAATCATGTATTGGAAATTTTTTCTTCATTTCTCATGCCTCCTAAAGGTATACATGGTTTGTTACTAAGATAACAATACTTATATTATTACTTGCATTTGCTGATTAATATCTTGTAGGAAAATATTATCTTGTGGACTCTAGTTATCTCGAGCCAAAAGGGTGTCTTGCCCTTTCTAAGGGACGCACGTACCATAAACCGTAATTTTGGTATCGTTCTAGGCCTCCTCAAGGGAAGTACGAGGTGTTCAATTTCTTGTATTCATCCATTCGAAATGTGGTTGAGCGGTCTTTCGGGGTCTTGAAGTAGAAGTGGTGTATTTTGAATGGCATGACAAGTTTCTCAACTTGTACTCAAAAGCATATCTATTGGGGATTTAACTTCGCCAAGAAAACACAGCCCCTGAAACTTCGAAGTTGAAATTGTGATTTCTATAACAAAGTTTACTTACAGGAAAAAGAAACAGAGCGAAGATGGAAATTTAACTTCGTCAGAAAGATTTTATCTTCGCTGAAGAGACCTCATCTTCACTGAAGAAAAGAAGAAAACAAGATTGGGCGAAGACAAGGATTTGACTTTGCCTAACACTTTGAAGACAGAAGAAGACAGAGAGAAAATCGACTAAGTCCAAAAAGACAAAGACATCAAGAAGATTGATGACCAAAAGTTGAAGAATGAAAGCTCGAAAAGAGAAAAAGACTACTTCGCCCTTGTAGTTGAAAAGGGTTGTAATTATTTGAATCAGGGGTAAAATGGTCATTTTATATAAAGTACGAAGACTAGGGCCCCTATAAATACCATCTCTGACATATATAGTACGATCATAAAATGAATACAACTTTGTCTTGTATTCAGACTTTGATGCTTGTGTGAATATTTTACCCAACAATATCATTCTTACTTGTCTAGTGTTATATAATTTTATTTGTGACAACAATTTGCATGATATAGAGTTCAATACCTTATGTGCTGGTACTGCTTATAACTGTTATTTTCTGACCTTTATGAGAACCTTATGTGAACTGTTCCAGTGATGTTCTGGTCATTAGCAATAAATGATTTGATATATTATTTGAAATGCAAGATCTATATATGTATAATATGTTTGACCTATGTATTTGGAATCCAGATGTGAAGATGTAATTTTTTGTTTTGTAAATGTTCTAGTTTGTATGGGCTAGCCTAACAACGAGGCATAGAAAAAATAGTATGGCCTAGCCCAATATAAATCTACGTGGGTTGGCCCAAATAGTTTTGTTTGGGCTCATCCAAAATGGCCTAGAGATAAAAAGAATATGGGCTGGCCCAAAAACATTGCGTGGGTTCAACCTAACCAAGTTGGATTGGGCCAAAATCATTCATGCAATTGAGAAATGGGCTGAACCAAACAAGGGCCAGGTCAAAAATCAGCATCAATAGTGGGCTTGGCCCATTATAAGCTTGCCTACTACGTGGGCTGGTGTAATAAGAGTGACGTAAAAGCTGTTGTCATAAAACTTTGTGATATCAAAACCAATGTCATAGATTTATGACATGAACATAAAAACGAAACAAAAACATGGTTTAAGGCGCATGGTTTGTGATACTAGCTTTTTCGTCATGCAAGTGTCACAAGTGCTAATATGTGACATAAATTCCATATATTATGACAAAGATTAATGGTCATAAAACCTCACATCTCTTCTAGTGTAGATGTGATGTTGATGAGGAGTACTTGCTAGAATAGACAAGTGGCACAACACAAACACGAGGAGATGAGATTCTAGACGTGGGGAATGAGGATACCATCAATACCATTCACAGTAGGATAGCCGATGCTTTGGTTAGTACAAGAGGGGGTAATTATGTTGATGGATGACATCATTATATGAGCCCTATATCTTTGTAAAATTCTATGGTTCTATTTACGTGGACCATGACCATGATGGATGCAAAACTTAAAAAAATATTTCCCCTTTCTAAAATGACCATTTACATGTTAATCAGTGAACAAAATAGTTATTTAGGAACAAATTTATAAACAGTCCCTCAGGGCCTTTAGGGGCATTACAAGTATTTCTTACACAACCTACAGATTCAGCTACTATAACCAAACGACTTTCAGCTTTTTCCGCAGCTCTCAGCTAACAGCAGCTTTTTCACACCTCACAATCCAACTAAACAAGACCATCTGCCGTCATGGTCTGGTGAGGTTTCAGTGAGATTCCTCGATCCATTCTTGCAAAGTCTCAAGTCGCCATGACAAGCAAGGAAAGAAAAAAGGAAAGCAAAATTGGGACCGAATCACTTTGGAACAAAGACAGCTGAAATAGATAATAAGAGGAACGACACAATAGTCATTTCGCACGGCATGTTGCCATGTACACGCTGGAGGGGTGAGGTGGCTTGCCACATCATTGAAAGTGTCAAATATGTAGCAACGTTTACTATTCCTGTGGCAATTTTAAGAAGCAAAACTAAAATTGGCAAGTGAAAGAGTACTAACCATAAGGATGAGAAATAGTAAAATAATATCCTGTTGAAGAGGAGAGGTGAAAGTTGACCTCCCATTTCTTTTAAGGAAACAGGAGGGTTGCCCCTACTGGACTTTTATTGATATTTTGAAATTTACATAATTTATAGAGTGCCAACAACTGTACTTAGGATACATAGAAGGGAGTAAAGAAGATCATGAAAATTATATCCAAGGCTTTTTTTTTGTTTGGAAAAATAACCGACACTATTATTAACATTTTCCATCACACCACCTCAAAATAAAAGTCTTTACCCAAGCTATTCACTTAGGTGAACAGCCTTTCATACAAATGTCCGCATAAAAAGCTTTTCCAATCCGGAATTTAATTTGCTATAACAAGCCCGATATGATTGATGCAACGAAATTATCAATGACAACACTGGTAAACAAATCAAACAATAATAAAAACTAGTTCTGCGTTCTGTTCCAAACTCTCAATCAAGGAAATAATTAACTAGAGGACCCAGCTGACATCAATCAGGAATAGAATGTCTACTGTATATTAGTTAAACCCCTAAATAATCAGCCACTGAGCCTCGGAAATCAACCAGTCCACAGATGATATCACCCACCACAGTAAACAAGCGCAGCAAACAGAAGTGATGATCAGGTAGTGAAGAAGCCGGCCGAATGCTGCTGCAGCAGTTATATATTGCCGCATCACTCGCCGGTGGTCGTCGCCGGCCGCCACGCCGTCACCGAGAACATCGGGGTCATGTTGGCGTAGATGACGAAGCAGGTGTTGTCCTGGGCTACCCAGTACCTGAGCGTGCCGTGGAGCGACAGCTGGAGCGCCAGCAGCCCCGGGTCTGCGAACGCGTCGAAGCGCCTCACCTGCAGATGCATGGGCCGGAATCCAGCCATGCCCATCCTCTGCGCCCACCCCATGACGCTCTCGTGACGCTCCCGCCGCGAGGAGCCATCACGGGCGACGATGTCCATGATCTCCTGCCGGAGAAGCATCCGCTCCACGGCCGCGCGGTCCGCCGACTCGCGGCGGCGCGCCGCCGGCCTCCAGGTCGTTGAACAGAGCCGCGTAGTAGTCGAAGGCGTTGCGGACGCGGTCCCCGAGGCTGGCGCCGTTGTGGTAGGCCTCCTGCTCCGTCAGCACAATCAACTTCGGAGACAGGTCGCAGAGGACGCGAAGGAGCGCGTCCGCCATGGTTATCTGATGCTTCGGCTGCTTCTTCTTCCCTTCCCTTTCTTGCCATGATGCTGATGATCGGCGACGGCTGGTAGGTCAATGCTGATCACGTCGGCGATCAGGCGGTGGAGCTGCAGGGTGGATGTGATCGCCAAGGCCTCACCGCGATGCACGCCGAAGGACGAGACATCGGTAGGGGACAGCCGGTCGATGTGAGACCGCACCGGGTTGAACACGAAGGGGATGTGCAGGCGCGCGGCCTCCCGGTGGAGCAGCCAAGCGGTGCAGGAGAGTAACCCTTCCTCCTCGCTGACGACGGTTAGGCGCAGGGAGGAGGGCTTGCCCTCCGGACGCACGGCGAAGAGGTGGAGCAGCTCGAGCCACTGGTTTGGGCTGGCCCCGCCGAGGTCGACGACGTGCACGTGCTCCTCGCCCTCCATCGCCGTGATGATCGCGTGGTTGGCGACCGACGCGGCGACGCGGAGGAGCGGGCACAGCGCGTCAAAGCAGAGGCGGGTGGCGCCGGTGTAACCGGTTGCCGCGGGCTGCGGTGGGAAGTCGAGCTGCAGTAGCCCACCGTACAGGCCCGGCAGCATCTGCTGCAACGCGCGCCGTCCGAGCGCCTCGGCGAAGGCGAACGCCACGCGCTGCAAGGGGTCGCCGTCGGCAGACGCGAGGGTCGACATGATCACCAGGCCGGTGTTCGCCGCCAGGATGTCCCCCGTGGCCAACGCGGTGACGCAGTGCTGCATCACCTCTTTGATGAGGAGGATGCGGCTGCTGTCAAGTTGCTGGAATACCGGAAGGATCACCGTTTGCGCAGCAACTGCGCCCCACTGCATGGCTGCTTGTTGCATCATGTGGGCTGCCGACGCCGACGACGACCCCACATCCTGGACGCCGCTTGTCCCCCCGAGGACGTCGTTGTTGTCGTCACTGCCAGAGACATCATTCGACGGCGTTTGGTGATGATGAGGAGCTGCGGTCTCCAGGATCGGCAGAGAGACCTTCTCCACCTCCTTCTTGAGCATAGCTTTATCGTCCAGATTAGACATGACCGCAAAGGGTTTCTGCTCCACTGGCGTCAGTGGAGAGACCTCCTCCTTGACCACAGCCTTGCCCTTGCTATTTGAATTCTCCAAAGACATGGCTGCAAACAACAAGAAATTGAAGATACTTCAAATAAACGATGTAGACGACATCCATCACTTAAATACAAAAAAAATCGAACGCTTTTTCTTGATCCCGTCTTTAGTAAACAACAACAAAATGTACCATGCTATGGAAATAATTCAGATTTGTAAGAACAGAAATTCACAACAGGGAAAACAATTTATCACAGGCTTAGCTAGATCCGTTCTTGGTGTCTATAGTTTAAATACTGAATATATTGTTCTTTTTGTCAAAGAAGAGCTTGAACAAACAACAAGCCCACATATCATATATATAATATGCTGAGGAATCGGAAAAATGGAGACGTCTCTATACATAAATTAAAGAGAGTATATGCATATATTACACACCATGTACAAATAAACAAAAAGGCATATATACATGTCTTTCATATGCATGACCAGACGCCATCTATCACTGCCTGAAAACTAATAAGCCTTGGGTATCAGGAGGGATTGCTAAGGTAAGGTACCTGAGGAGGACAGATGCACGAGAAGCAGCAAGTAGTGGATCTCGCAAACCAATTGCCTCTTGCTCTCTTAACCTGCCATGCCAGAGACAAAGTAATGCTTGTTGGTGCTTCTTAGCGTAAGCAGAAAAATCCGCAAGTACACGGAAGTACCGTTATAGCACTTCACCCGAAAGTATTTAGAGTATCGTATTTTCCAAAAGGAACAGTAGCGTAAGTAGTCTCTTGGCTAGTTTACCTAGGAGAACAAGATGAAGGGTAACTTGGGTAGTGAGGTTCTTCTAAGGGCAGAAACCTTAAGCGAAGATAACTTTGCTACTACAGACTCACTTCGGGCACCGGATCACACCTGGTCTACCAAGCGAGGCCAGCCTGTAGCTCTACGCTGTATCCGAACGTGGGGGATTACAAAGAACGGACATGGCTGTCACCACCTGTCGCCTACCCCTCAACCATGGGATACGAGGCAAATGAAGTAACGTGCAGCTTAGACACCACGTCTACGCTAACCGTTACTACTCTAGTGTTGGCCAGGAACTTCTGTCTTTATCAGGAGTCCTCTAATAGAGCACCCGCCATGAGGACGGACAACGAACCCGCAAGTAAGTAGCAACAATGATAACTTGACTTAGGGAATCAAAACATAAAGATGAACACAAACGTCTTACTCCAAGTAGCACGACGTTTGTAGAGGTACAAGTGTAGAGGGGAGCCGACAAGTCCAGTACTCCGTCCACTCGATGTACAAGGTTCGCCGAGTACAAGGAGTAGAGGGCACCGCTACTCCGCTATTCCTCTATCTCTTCCTCTCTCACTCCCTAACTAATCTAGCTAGAAGCTAATGGAATGAGGTAGCCCTTCTTCCATTAGATACACAACCATCAGACTATCTATGCATCTGTTGGGCTTCTACATGTATGGGGAGTACTAAGACAGGTTTTGCATGGTGATCAATTTGAGTCTTCAGGAAACAACAACAAACAGATATATATCAAAACATATGAGCAAACCCTGTTGTTTCGATCCTCTACCTCATAATAACCCAGAGAACTGGAAGAAGATATATATATATATACATGAGTGTGCTGATCGAGTATATATGATATATACCTTTGGATCCAACAGCGGTAACTTCCTCAGATACAGAAATCCAAAGCCCAGCTATACCTTGTTTCTCCTGCAGTCCTGCGTGGAGTGTGAACGCGTTAACAGAGATGCAAAATAAGATTAAACAGATCATTGGAGGTATATATAATCTCTATCTATTGCAAACGATGCATGAAGGATGTAAAAAGGGAGCCAGAGATACTGCATTCTCTGCAAGGACCAAGAACACCAAAATGCAAAACGGGATGGATCTCCAAGTCAACCTATCTAGCGATATGAACTCGCTCACCTGATCAGGACCGAGGACAGGATTTCTTCCCCCTTGAGCTAGCTCAATGAACTCCGGGAGAGGTGCAGTACAGGGGTGTTTATATTATATACAGAGCTCTGGGCCTCTGGGTCTAGGTCTGCCCGCTGGTGTCTGCAGAGATAGAGCGCCGCCTGCCAAATTTTCATGCAGCCCTAAATTTGGCAACAAGTAATGGACAGAGCTGTTGGAGGGCTGTGGGTTGGCAGTAGCCAAATTCCTAGTGCTAGAATTGGCAAAAAATGAAGTTTTCGGTTGCATTCGTTTCTGTAAAGGGGCCACAGACCGTTGACTGGAGGAATTTCAGGCCCACTCACACCTCTCATGCAATGCGCTCTGCCCCCAAGGATCCCGTGATCATTTTCACACCATCATCTTCGAGCTCCAAGCGTTCTTAACCATTTTTCTTTCTTTTCTCCTTTTTTTTGAGGGAAAATGGTTGGTGGGCCCATAGAGTATGTGACGTAGTGGGTCTAGGAGGACGACGTTGACGGGTGGGCCCGAGTGGTGGGTCACGGTGTTGTTGCCGTTCTTGGGAGTGGGACGGACGACTCCTTGGGCGCGGAGAAAAGTGACGGGTCTGCCCCTGGCTGTTGGGGCAAGCCATCTCAACTGCTGCATAGGGACTAGGTAGGGTAGATCTATAATTTTCATAGGAAATGTCTATTTGAGCATGGAATGGCAAGTTTGCCCTCCTTTGGAGTTTACTCCTGTTTTCTGCTGCCCGCGGTTTTGTGCGAGAATGGTTAGTGGTGTGTACTTTGCTGTAATTAGTTTTAGCATTATGCTTTCAACCATAATCAATTTATATATTCTATCAAAAAAATAATCAATTTATATAGGACCTGAGCCATCTGTTTATTGAATAGAGAAATTTATAAAATACTTTGTTTTATGATATTGGTAGATGAAAAACTTCACGCGAAGAAGTACAATCATAACACTTCTATCCTAGAGTTTGCGGATTAATGCGAATGATGGTTTGATATTCGTATACAGGCAAATCTTTAAAAGTTGAATACTAATTGGCATTCCATTTAATGTAGTAATAGATTGATTCCTCAGTGTTCGGTTCCTTCCTGTATTCAATAAGACATCTCATATTTATTGTTAGAAATAGGTTGCTTGACTAATATGGTTGGCGCAACAAAAGATCTCTCGCCATAGCAGGCACTCTAAGAGTCAACGCGTTGAGTAGCATAGTTTCTATGACATTAACTACTCTGCCTTATACTCCACACTGATGTGGTGAGAGGGTTATTCAGAAGAGAGAGAAATTGCTTCTCCACAAAGAAATCATCTCGACAATCCTATAATGAATGAAGAAATCAACAAGATACGCGCTGGGTGCGAAGCGTGGTTGCTTCACGTGTTTTGTGAGGTCTACCATCAAGACCATCGCCCCAAACTCGTCATTTCTAGTGGCGCACCAGATCTATCACCAAAGAGACCGAGAAGAGGAGATAGACTCACCATTGACCTTACTCCATCGCCGTCGAATCAGCCACAGGAGGTCGTGGGGAGAAGAGGGGGCTGCATCACTTGACCTCACCAGCACAGATCCAGGCCTCACCGCGCCAGCCCGAGCCTTGCGCACCACGCCCCAGCGTCCAAGCACTGAGCGAGTACGCGAGAGAAGAGATATATATAGAGAAACAGGTTTGGGGACAGAGAAAGCGATTTATTAAATATATTAGAGGTGCCACGCATAGGTACCTTGCATATTAGGTGATGTGGTTTCTAAAAAGCTTAATCTTACTAATATGATAAGTATAAAAGGGTTTCCGTTGGCAAAGAGAAACTGTAATAAGCCGCGTGTCAAGTCGAAGATGAGCCTTCATTGTATTGCTGTGAAATGCCTTGGTCTGCAAGGCTGTTATTGTGGTGTTCCTTGTGTTTGCTTTTTTCAGACGTTGGGCTTCACGAGATCTTCACCGCACTGCTTAGCAGTGCCCTCTTTGCTACTATATAATATATTATGCCTAGGTATAGATGTGCAAACGGACTGTCTGGCATGGGGCCATCAAAAAACACGGCCCAGCACCCTGACGGGCAAGGCACGGTACGCCGGGCCACCGGGCCGTGCCTAAAAGGGTCACGAACCTAGTCGACGACCCAGTGTTTAGGGTTAAGATTTTTTCTAGATATTTTTTTATTTTCTAGAGCTAAATCTATTTTTAACCATCTAAATAAGCTATAAATATTTTATTTGGATTTGCATATAACAATGTATCTTTAGAATTTGTTGGGAATTTTTAAAAATTTATAGATATTTTCTTTGATTTAAAGACCTTATCAAGTATTTACCAATTCTTTTAACTAAAAAGGTAAAACCACCTCCAAAACCGCTCCAAACTAGGACAAGGAGGTAAGTTGTACGATTTTTAAAGTTCAGTGATAAAATGTCTGGTTTTGAAGTTTGTAGAGAAAAGATCAGACTAAAGTAGGAGGTAGAAAGAACTTGGAACAAGTCTAATTTACCTCCATTAACTATCGCGGTGGTTCGATTTTCCTCCCAGGACTATAAGACTTGTTTTTTAAAATATCACTCCTTCCCTCCACTTTTAAAATTGTTTATTTTTGCACCTGGGTGGTTTGCTGATACGGTCTACATCAGATGGGATAAATCGCACAAAGCTAAAAGTTCAGGGAGATAAATTAAACTACAAATATTTTAAAATATATACAATTCATAAAAAAATTAAAATTTATCTAAATATTTACATTGAAAAATAATGCGATTAAAAATCCTATGGTTTAGTATTAGAAAATTCATGTTTTACCCCAATAAATTATGAAACTAGTTTCAAATTTTTTTCTAAAATCATGCTCTATCTTATGGTGCCCAGTTTGAAATCGTTTGAATCTTTATGGACTCACTTTGGTGCTTATTTGCTAGTAGCTCTTGGTATCTATTATAATTAGTCGATGTTTGATTGCTCGACTAGGTAGAAGTGTCATCGGGATAACATTTGTGTGGCAGGGTGGGCACTGGTCCCTGCTCTGGATAAATTTTCAAAGTAGTTGTATTAGCCTGAGTAGCTACATGCAACCTATCACTACTGAATTCAGGTTCTTTGCCGAGTGCCTGA